TTTATGGCTAAAAGGTTCCTGTATATGGCATTGTTTTCGCTTAATTCCATTGTTAGCTGGGTCTCTCACTTTTGTCTATGTTACTTTACATTCATTTCTAGTTAGTTTCCATGTATTTTAGTAATGTCTACTTCATGATCCTTTATTTATAATATATATTTTTTTAAATAAATTAATAGAAGCACAAAAAGTCTATTACATATATAGTAATCAATCAGACCAGTACCCTACCCAACAATGAAATGAATTAATACATAATAAATAAAAAATGTTTTGCTATCAGTTTGCCTTCCACATAATAACTGCATGCTTGTTAATCTTTAAGTACATTTGATTTGGCACACTGAGAGGTAGTTAATCTACTGGGCTGTATGTGCATATTAGGTCAATAGACTAGATTATGGGTCCTGTAATTACCTCAGAATGAGATGAAGCAACAATTTTCAATAGACATATTAATGTATGTATTAAATAATGTTTTCCATATAATTAACCACAGGCTTTACAAACTTTACAAAAAAGTACATACAGTATTCAGTTTGCACAACACATAGCCTAATCAGTGTGTTTATTTGCAGCTACATGCAAAACCTACAACAATATATCTGTCTCCATGATGGGAAATAATGTCCATTAGATTGCAAGCAATCTGATATTGAAGCATGAGTCCGTGTAACTCAGGGTGAGCATCTGATTCCACTTTTCAACCACAAATCTGCTCACAGACGCATTATTGTTGGTATCAGTTCTGCAGGTGACCATACACACCACATACTTCATTAAAACCATCCAGAGAGAGTTATCTCTGGGATGACTTCTTCCCAGAGGAGGTATCTGTTTGTCTGTATTTCTCTAACAGTCCCTCACCATCTGTGGAGAATATCAGAATATACTCCTATCAATAAGACTGTTTAAACAAACCAGTCAGCTATCAGAGAGTTTGTGTTTAGAATGACAACAATTGTGGGATGCCACCCCACACACACAAGTTCAGTAACACTTGAAAATTGCTTAGCATTCAGCGGCTGATTCCAGCACAGAAAGGGATATGCATCTGTAGGGAGAGAGAGTGAGAGTGTGTACAGGCAGTCCTCCCCAGTGTCTGGCTGAAGGCCTCCCTGGTGGATTATGTTACCCAACAATGGCAGTGGCCTTTCACAGTCGGAGCATGCTCCAATAGCTGGAAGGCATACAAACATGTCTCTCTTCCCCTTTCCCTCGCTCTCCCACCAGAATTGACATTGTCCCCTGGCAAATGCAGGTCTACAGTATGTCTTTATATTTACAAATGAGTGCCCTAGTTTCTGGTGAAAGGCAAATAAAAAGCAGGCTATCACACCAAAGCATTTCAGCTGTGGCATGAATGGCGTCACACATGGAATGGTACCCAGTGTCACTGCATGTGAAGACAAAAAAGGTGAGACAGCTATGGCTGTTAACACCTCCTCACTAATGAAAGATGGACAAGACAGAAGGCTTGACAGAACTATGGAGAGATAATGATGTTATAAGACGTACTGTAAGACACTCTGTGTTTATAATGTGTGTAGAGAAACACACACAATCAACAGAGAAAAAGCCTGAGGCAAACACTGTAGTAAGTCCTGCAGGCATGAGCAGGCATGAAGGTAAGCTGTAATGGTAAACGATCTTCATCAGACATTCAATAGCTGTTGCTTAAAAGCTGCTGCTCACACAGAAATCCCTCAGCAGAACACTGTATGTACAGCAAAGTGACATCATCAGTAAGTGTAATGTCATTTGCCTCATGCTTCAGTTGCAGCACAAAATCATCTCCAAATGAATTATATTTGTCAATTAAGTAAATAGACCGGCTAAATGAACATGTTATGGCAACTGCTGACATTCAAGGGTGGGAAACATTTTAAAAACCAGACAAGTTATTAAGAATAAATCCTACGGAGCAGAAAGTGATTTTTTTTTTCAGCCTAAAACTCCTCAAACGGCAGATAATCTCGGAGGAGCGGGATTAGTAAATTTATTCGAGCACAGAGTCTATGTTCATTCAGTGCGAGCAACAATCTGCCCGGGTACAGTGAGGCCTGTTTCAAAGGCAGTGGCACACACACACTCCTCACGAGGGCCTGTAGTCTTTGGTGAATACAGGCTTTATAAAAGAAGTTCAGCTCTCCCTAAACCTCACAGTTTGGAGTACAAAAATATAAGGTTCTCCACCGGTTTCCCCGAGGTAGAACACAGCTTCTTCTCCTTGCTTTTTGAAAAACAAATCCACAGGAGAAATTAAATTGGCCTGCTGACGGCTCCCATACAACCAGTCAAGGCAGCTAAGTGTGCCAGAAAGTGTGCAGGCTAAGATTACAGGACTAGTGCAGGAGTGCTTGAAGAGTCACCTCAAGTCAAACTAGTAAGTCTTATTGGTGCGAGAGAGAGACGCCTCAGAAGCAGGAGATGTCCTGTTCTCATAAGTGAACCACTGAAATGCAACAAGACATAGTGGGTCCGGACGGGGATCTGCTCAGTAGAACAGTGCAGTGTAATTAAAATTCAACAAAGAAAAGAACACAGCCTGGAACTACTGCACATCAGAGAATACAGCTATAGCTGACTCATCATTGCTGTCATACACAACCATCATTACGACACGATTGTGACTTCTGGCCTTCACTAATAAAACCTGAGGGGGACAAGTTATGAGTAACAGCTATGTCATCACTGTGCATTGCAAAATCTTCTTTGCTGTCATCATCCCTTATTTTTATTGTAAACCCTTGGGGTGTTAGAAAGCAATATTTGTGCCACTACTAGTCTTAGCCCCCCTCTGCACTTTGGGCTGCTCAAATCCGATGGCTCTTTTATAATTTCATTTTAATTTCAGGGTTCCATGGCTTCAAAGACAAGCTCAAAACAGAACAGCAAACACACAAACAAGGCCATTTGGACTGTCTGCGATGACACATTCACATCCGGACAGCATTATCTGCATAATTACATGGCAAGTGAGACTTGCTGTGTATGGAAGAAGTGTGAAAAATATACAGTGATTTTAAATATTCAACAACCCTTATCTGCCCTCGAAAGCATCCTTAATATTCCACAGGCAGCTTGTGGAAAGCAAGCAGCTGAGGCAGTGTTTACAGGTATTTTGTAGCAGGGCAGATCTTCGTGTTTTAACTAAAGTGGTGCTCCTTAGTTTAACAATAGCACAACACAGGCAGGACCAGGATAAGCCCTCTGCTAATTGACACAGGAATTCAAAGAGGCGGTCACAAAAGAACCTCAAGTCTGTGGATTCTTATATTCTCATCTTCTGTGGTGGCTGAGATATATGAAAATGATACAGGAGGAAGCTGCTACAGCTGATAACGGTATCAAGACAAAAAGGAAGCTAATGAAGCACAGGCACAAGGTTGAAAGTTCAACACAGAGTCCATCATTATCTGACAGGCAAAGAGGAAAGGCAGCTAATGATCACACCAACACTCCATCTCCAGAGTCATATGAAGCCACTGCAGTCAGTCATATGAATGAAATGCAGAGGATCTCTAATGGGGGGGATGGGAAGGGGAGCAGACGCCAGGGCCTTGTGTGTAACAAGGAAAAGCATGCACGTTTATGGTTTAAGGAAGTGACACAGGCACCGAAGGAAGATAAACAGATTGTGGGACTGTTCGCTGCTTCTTTGAGATAAGAGAATGTGCCTGCAAAAAAATGTCTGCCTTGCAGTGCCTTTCACTTGGAGTAGGCAAGGAAAAGATAAAGAGAAGAGTTGGGGAAATCATTAAATATGCTTCTTAATCTGTAGCATATTACCTCAAATCTGGAGGGTCAGCCAGCGTAGTCAATATCTCATTCCTGTATTATTTAAATGCTTAATTCATTTTGGTAGGTTACTAATGGCTTCTTTATACTTGGTTGACCTCGTTGCCTTGATCTCTTCAAATCGTCCTTGAATCTTGCTCTACCTCAGCTGGAATCAGAATAACAATTGCATTTTGTTTCAGTTGGCTCAGTGCCCCTTCACACACACAACCGTAATTACAGAGTCTATTCTAATGGCATATAATTTTCATCTACACCAGGAGCCATTAACACGGCTTTATTCTGGTAGGCTAACTGGTTTACATCAGACAAGTGATTCATTCATATCGCAGCTGGAGTTAGTCTAGAGAGTAATTTACAGATGTAATGTTGTTCGGCTACTCGTTTTAATGGCTGGAATAACAGATTCAGTGTGGAGCAGTGCTGTCTGTGCAGACCACATGCTACAGCAAGCCAATTTCCAAGGAGACTGGGTTAACCAAAGAGCTTGAATGAACCCGTTGAGCTGATTGACATGGCTGTAAGAATAAGGCATTGTGCACCAGTACCCATCAGTGGAGTGTATATAGCCTGCAGAGTCTATAATAGAAGGAAGATGTGGTCAGATTAACACCTCAAAGCCAAAGAGTGATATAATGGCACATGTTCTACTGCCCATTTCTGTATCTTAGTCCCACAAGTGGTCAGTCAGTCAGTTAAGGTTTTTCTTTTCCCTTCAGAGTTAAAAAAAACAAAAAAGCAAGCTATATTAATGTTCCAAAAGGAGAAAAATTCAGCATCTTATCCTCATATTAAAATGCCAAAGACGCAATTGCAGACGCGGTTATTCCGTCAAGGCGCACGGATAGGATGATTGGATATTTTACCCTTGCCTCATTATCACTTACGGCAAGTGGTAGGGACGGCTGTCAACGTGCCACAAGGGAAAGATGCAGTCTAACAACTTTGCCAAAACGAATTACCATTTTCCCTTAAGTGTCCGGGGTTTAAAAGAAAGTTATGGTAATGTGTAATCAATACAGTCCATCATGCACAATCTGACAGCGTGACGTCCAGGGGCTGCACATTCAAGGAAAAAGTGGCTGCCGAAACATGTTTTGATAGAAAGAGATGCGTCTATTGTAAGTGATGACAGGTGCAAACAAATTCTCACTGCAGAATGAATGAAAGGGAAAACAATTTGCGCATTTGCCCCCTACCTTGTCAACACAGTAGACTGGCCGTCCAAGAATCGCCTTGAGAGTAATCCTCTGAATTTCGCTGGAATTGCGTCCTTGCCTTCAGAAGATAACAAGTCGGGATTGATCATATAGGACGTCACTTGGATGGTAAGGTCCCACACACTGTAGTATCTTCCTGTATCGCTCCGTCTTTGGGCTGCAGAGGCATCACTGAACGTATGAAACAGCGCTTCACATGAATGGAGAGAGGAAAAGTCCGACATGGAGTCCGATGGCTGGATCCCTCCGCGGTCCACTCAGTCCAAGTTCGATACTTTACACAATTCTACAAAAGCATGTTAGAGATTTTACATTGCTACGAAAGTTAAAATTAATAGTAGTAATAATAATACGTATCTTTATCGTTTGTTGCAATTATCACAGAAAAGGGAAAGTGAGGACCCCCAGGTGCATTTAATTTATCAATAATTAACTCATCTCCTAGCTTGAAGTTGAGGTTAAAGGTTAAAGGATAATCTTTGGTTAGGTTATTTACTAGCCTAGCTACAATTCAGCTCCTAAATCACTGACATGAGTTATAAAAGGGATATTTTCTTTCTTTATCTGTGTATGAGTGACATTAAATGATTAAAATATTTGACGCCATATTAAAAATACATCCACTTACATTTTTCGGAGATTTCAGCCACACCTCATAACCATGTCAACTAAAATCCCTCCGCTGAGGAAGATAGCTCTGGAAAAAGCTAGTTAATAATGATAAATATACATAGTAAATAATAATATTATAAAATAATATACATTTCAAAATATTTACCTGTCTTTACTCTTAACTGTTAAAAATTGTATTTATTTGTTTAATATTTTTTCCTTTATCAAAATTATTCTCAATTTTTAAGCCAACATTAGAAGAGAAGACCTTAAAGGGCTCATGAAATATAAATAACATAACAATAGAACAAATCCATCTGCTTAGGGTAGATCCTGTCATAAGCTTTTGAGCTCAAATACAGCACATAAGGGAGCTATTGTTTTGTCAGTAGATGTTTTCAAGATTTGTTTGTTTTGTCAAATGAAAAATTTTATTTTTTCCCAGCAGCCTGTTCCTATTAAGCATTGTTTAATGTTTTCACTTTTGTAATCTTAATTTGTCTTCAAGTTAGGGTTAATGTCCAGATTTAATGATCATGGCTTGCATTCATACCCACAGTGAGCTGCAAAATAATACGTTAAAGGGAACATTGGGACATTTGTGTTATGGAGTATGACTTCAATTTTTGTACTCAGTCACGCACACCACACACACAAAGACAGACAGAGACAGTTGTGCTACACAGTGCACACAGGCACATCACACAGACTTCTCACATCACTCTCTGTCTCTCTGTGGCAGTGATACTGATGAATGACTGGAGGCTACTCTGCTGGGAGAGAGCAGGAACTAGCAAACCAGCCGGGCCTCTGCTCTGTGCCTGCCAGGCAGCCTAGATCTAATAACAAGGTTGCATACTTCAATGGCATAACCCTGGCAACAGAAGCGGTAGAAAAGATTTAACGTGCTATCAGCTATTGTGTGTGTTAGTCTGGACTTCGGATGATCAGGCTTTAAACAAATCATATATGCATTTAGAATAATACATGGCTGTGATTTGAATGGGACACCACATAAGAAAATGTCTACATTGAGACATTATCAGGGGATTTACTGTAGCCTGAAGCCTTTTCATCAACCAGCAATCAACAATTTATTGGTGGCAGGCAGTCAATAAAGGCATTCCCTGAAAGTGTCAGTGAAATCAATATCCCCCGTGACACAACACACAGCCCAGAGAGAGAGGGAGAGGGAGAGAGAGAGAGAACAAGCAGAGGTATAATCAGTGGCCGCACTATATGCAAATAAGATTTTCTGTGTTGCTAACGCAGCATTATGAATGAACTGAGGTGACCGCACATAGTAAACTCTACTAATTTTGACCGAATTAGCAAGATTTCTCCCTTTCACTCTCTGACTTTCAATGCAATGGTTTAATCACATCAGATCCCAGTGTGACTTTTTGGGGTGGGAGAAACTGAATTGTCAACCAAGGCTGACTGCAGTAAATCCTTTCAAAAGCTGTCCTTAAAGAACAAGCAATGCAATCCTTAGGCTTAAACAAGGAAGGTGTGTTTGTACAGTGTCTTTAAGGTTAGTTGCATTCAAATTGAAGATTGTTTCCTGTGTGTTGGTGTCTTTAAGGGAACATGTGTTGTTGCAGTGAATCCCTCAGGAGGCATGTGTGATTTTATTTGCGTCATGGCTTCTTGCAAGTACAATACACACATGCAAGCCTACACATCAAAGTGTGTTAAATATGTTGGCTCTCTCAGATATTGTCTTGAGGCTGAGAAACAGAAAAATAATATATAAATATACACAGATACACTCGTTGAAAATAAATAAAATCCTATGAACCTGTGCTCGCTGAGACTTGCCATAAATGCAATTCAGCAAGATTGAAATTTAATTCATGTTTTTTTTTAATGTAGCTGAAAAAAAGGATATACTCTATATTTCAAATCCATGAGAACAGCAGTGTTTGAACACACTTTACATTTCAGATTAAATGTGTGTGACTGTTCCTGTCTGCATTTGTCAGACAAAAGATCCAGTCTGTGGCAGAATCCAGTGCATGTTTTACCTCTCTCTCTGGCTCAACATGCAACAGCCAGCTATTTATCAATAATTCATACCAAAGGAGGTAGTTGCAAACATATGAAAGATGACACAGAGAGTGCCATGTAACTGTTAGATTACCTTATTGTCACAATTACCATTAAATCATACTTTGACAGTTTGTCAGAGACTCAAACTGCTCAGCCCTCTTTCGAAGAACTCCAAGAAGAAGCCTTTACTGTATTACATTGTTATAATATGCATTTCTACAAATACATCTCAGCACTGACACATTTTGCAATGTGGTTTACATGTATTGTAGGTCAACAAAGTAATCTTGTGGTTTATAATTACACTGCAGCGTTATTAAGTAATCAACATTATGATGCTGGCAGATGAAGCACAAGCCCTATTAATGTGAATTATTAATCAATCTACATCATAAAAAATTCTGCTAATGCTGCCATAGCAATGGTAGTCTTGTGACAATGAAAATCGAGTATGTTTAAAAATTATACCAAAATACTGAATAACACTTTTTGACTGTTGTATGTAGCATGTAGAAGGTGAATTGCATAAGATCTAAAGTAAAAACAACATCTTGTTTTAATCTGTGGCAGCATTTGATTGCAGCAGTATGCAGCAGATGTCACCTATAGTTTCAGCTTCACCGTCCCATCTTTTTCTCTACTGCCACTCACCCTTCTGCTTCTTCTATCAGAACAATTTCAGACTTGAGAGATTAGCAGATCTCAGCTACGAGGCGTGGCTGGATGAAATCAGTTTCACTGGATGGGAGACTGTGAGCACGTTCCCACCCAGCATTTTCGATCGATGCTCATGAAACGGCCCAGAGGGACGTCAGCAAACCTTTGATGTTCCCTTGAAGACTCTATCGCTTTTCGACTTGATTTAATTCAGGCCTCTTTGTCTTGAAGCAAATTAATTCCAGCCTTAAAATGACATGTAAACACCATCTAATTTCAACCTTGCTGTATCTATGCACATTTCATTTTTTTTAATATAAAGAGCAGATGGTGTGAGCATGTGAAGGAACATGTTGCATTTTCTAATTGCTGAATTACTGTTAAATATCCCTAGCCCAAGAAAACTTACATTTGTGCTATATCTGAAGAGGGACTATAAAACATATATTGTGTTTACTGTACACTTGGGATACTTCTGCAGCCATCCAAACACTAAAAGAAGTACTAAGAATAGAAATGGCATTGAAGCTGAATAATTCAGATGGAGGGAATGGAGTACTGGACGTTTTTGCATGAAAAAATCAAAACAACCCCCCCCAAAAAAAGCCTTAGAAATGATGATATCACAACAACATATTGCCCCTCACTGAAGAATGTGTTTGTGTCTTTGTAACTGATAACTGTTGTTAAAGAATTACTCAGAAAGAGTCGTCACATATCAGTTAAATACTTACCTACAAAGCTCATCCAGTCTATAAGGTCCACTTTCCATTTGCTTTACAGATAATACAGGATATAAAAGTCTTTGTTTTAATGTGATCCATGTGGACCATGCAGACTGGAATGGGTGGAAGCAGCTCTGTTCACCCATTGGGGTTTTGAAAATCTAACTCTTCATTTTCCCGAACAGAACAGGTAGCACTCCCACATTCATATGGCCCTCTGCCCCTTTCTCCTTAGCCCCCCATTTCCCTCTATGGGACGTGCTTTTCACACTTCCCTAAACTTTAGAGAAGAAATTCATAGAGTATTAAATATTGAACACCACAAGTGAGAATGTTAAAGCCAGTATTGTGGCTGAGCAAGATGGAACGAGATTTGTGGATTAAGGCAAAAGTCAGAATCCTAAAGCAGCAGTAACGTAAGGATCTGTACATTGCCTACATCAGCGCTACATGATGTTAAAATGTTCTTCAGATCATCTGACTTTCCATATTTTAAATGATTGGCAACACCTTTCAGTAGAGATAGATATTAGTCTACTCCAATTTTCACATTTGAGAAGCTGGAACAAGCAAATTTTTGGCACTTTTGCTTGAAAAATGATTTTAACAATAGGCCTACTCAATAATACAATTTGCTGTAGCTACATTTTCTGTTGATTGAAGGAATAGTTGGACATTTTGGGAAAGCTTATTTGCTTTGTTGTCCAGAGTTAGATGAAAAAATGTATACCTCGTTTAAATGCAAAGTATAAAGCCACGGCTTAGCTTAGTTTTGCGTAAAAACTGGTAGAAGGGGAGAAACAGCTCTATTTGGTTATGTGTTGGACTATATTATGTGTTAATTAGGGAGCTTTAGAGGTATTGGTAGTGAGAACTTCCTATCTTTGTAGAGAGCCAGGCTAGCTGTTTCCCCCTGCTTCCAGTCTTTATGCAAATCCAAGCAAATAGCCTCCTGACTGTAGCTTTATTACCTTACAGGTACGGCATTAGTATCGATATTCAAATATAACTGTAAAAAAGAAAGCACACTAAATATTTCCCCAAAAGTCAAACAATTCTTTTGATTTTCTGCTTAGCTAGCATTCAACATTTCTATTCTTAGCAGTGAGTAAATTAACAGAAGCAAGAGGTA